CGGAGTTGGATCTCAGTCAGTCTGAAGATGATGCCTATACGGAACAGATGATGAACTTGACTCGGACTCTGACTGTGATGCTTATTTCAAATGAGCACAAGGTCGTGGAAATACCGGTTAATCTGATTTTACATACATGTATGGTTGAAATAACTTATATTAAAATGATTATGTTAATTGTAATTAATGTTTTCTGCTTATATTGTGTGATAGCGAACTAGTATGTGTGTATTTTAATATAATATTAATCATTATAAAAAGAACCCTCCCTCCCTGTCCGTAGTGCAATGCGGACAAAAAAAAAATTTCCTTTTGTGTCCTCCTACTATATTACATTTACCTTCTACTCTTAAACTTAATGAAAGCCCTGTTACCAACTGCTGTATTCATCCAACTAAACATTATTTTGTAGAAAATACAACATATGCTTTAGTTTAAGATTTTGTTTATATTTGAAAATTGGATTACCTTGAATAATTGCATGAAATCAATATTTTTGAAAATTAAAACGAAATAAGTCATTTTTTATGCTCGAGCTACTTTCAGTGTGTTAAAATGGCAGCCATTTTGTTTTGCAGATACGCGATATTTACATCGCAATTTTTCAAGCATTTGTTATTACATATCACTGAACCTACTTAATATTGTCAGAAAGTAAGAACACTTTTACTTTATCTTTATTTTGATCATTTTTAACATTTAATTCTGTGTAATAAAACTTTTGAAACTCTTGTTGTAGTTGATAGCATACTTGATATGATTATTACTTGCTTCTAAATGGTTGCATATATGGACTACCTTGTACGCAATTATCTACGCAATGAAAAACAATTTGTATCAACTATTTTTCTTTACAATGTAGCACTTTGGGAAAGCAAATTTGATGTGACTGGAGTAAACCACAAAGACAATGGTCTTATTATTTCAGTTGTCCGACGGGCAATCACATTTGCATTTAGACTTGTCCTGACTGAAAATTTACCTGTCACGGGCGTCGGGCGATATGAATTTTCGAGCCCTGATGAATACAATAGATCTCTACTGATATTCTTTTGATATGCAAATTATCTAAGGCACCAATAATGTACCTAGGAAAACACTGCGCCAATACTCTTCTTGTACATACAGCTGTCAGAATAACTTTGTATTAGTAGAGACGATGAGAAAGAGAAAATGTGAGCCAATCACGACTGACCTTGGTAGCATAATTAGGTCTATCAACTGCTTCATCACCAATATAGAAGTCTAAATCTTCAACACCACGGCCTAAACGTCTCTGATCCCCGATTTTAGCCGACTCCTTTACTGCAATAGCTGGAAATATAAATAAAATAGTAAGTTTGTAATTTTTTAAAAACACAATGAGGTAAATACTTTTAGTGACTCAAAACACTTCAGCATTGTTGATGTAATGGATACTAATTTTCAACAATTGATGGTTAGAGATGATAAGTAATTCATGTTTGATATGGGTACCACACAACGTATATACAAGTAATATACATGGTTCATTTACTATGTTGTTTTTGAACAACAATTATTGCCCTTGAAATTAATTTCATTTTGTATTGTGTCATCATTCTCAGCAAAAAACATTGTGATGAAGAAGTACACGTGATTTTTCGGGTAATGACAGTTAATCAGAAGATACTGAATTGTTCAAGTTACGGACATCAAGTTACGAAAACATGGAGTTACTCGATGTTCAATTACCCGGTAACTTTGAGTTACGGGCAACATATTGGTTTTTGTTGAACGTCCACATTAAGTAACTCGAATTTTAAATAACATTTAACCAAAAATCGAGTTACAGGCAACATATATTTTTTTTCTCTTTCAAATTTTGTAACTCAAACTTTAATTAACAATTAACCGAACAATTTATCATCTCCTTAATCCAGTATTCAATCAGTTTTCAGCATATACCAAAGTATGTACAAACTTCTTAAAATGTGAAGATATGTGTATTTGGGGAGGGGGGGGGGGTATTTTGTTATGTTACATCGAAACAAACCAGGTAAAAAAAATCTAGATTCGCCCCTGCACACAGTGTTCTCCCCAGGAATTTAAACCACTGTGGCAGCCTGATTTGCATATAATTTGCATATCATTTACATAATAATAGAAATTGACCAAAGCACATTTACACCCACACAATAAACAACATACATTTAAAAAACAAAGTGGCATATATTTATTTGTTTCACACAGTGTTATAAACACTTTTATTTTGGGTACTTTTGTAATATTAATGAGCTCCGTCACAGTGCAAATATATTTTTTTTTGGAGTCAAAATATTACGTTTCACAATTTAGAAGAGCTTGAATTTAAAAATTTAACATTCCCGAAATGCAAATGCTGCAGACTAAAAAGAAACAAATAAATTGTAAAAGGTTAAATGAAACTAATTTGAAACGTTTGAGCCAGGATTATGTTCACCACTTTTCATGATCTTATTTACTACAAAATTTGTAATTATTTGGCGGATTGCTGGTTATTATTCCGACGATCAGCTTCTACAACGAACAAATAACACTTCCAAACGATCATCAAAATTACGACGTGACATAACTTACTTCGCGATGTTATACACCAGTTATACCAATAATTCCTCTTACTCGGTCATGATGCCATGCAAAAATTAAATACTTCTTTTTTTATATGAAAAAAACATAAAATTTGAACTAGTT